CCCCAAAACCCCAAAACCCCAAAACCCCAAAACCCCAAAACCCCAAAACCCCGAATGTATGTTCATAAACTGAGACTAGAATAAATTTATAATTAACACTATGGAGCTGAGATTAGCAGCAGGCTGCTACGGCAGCTTGGTGGGATCTAAACTATCTATAGTAATTATTTAGACAAATTATTCATCTTTACATACTAATTTCCATATTTTGCTTCAATTGCGCTGTTAATTTCCTGAACCCACACGTCAATGGATGCCTTATCAGGGTGCTTGAGATAATATGTACGGCCTTTAGTTACAACTTCGAGTTTGTATTTTCAGATCTTTTTGGCTTTGCAGTCTGAATTCAGCTTGATTTCTCCCCTCATGGTTTGCTCATCCTTGAAATACATCAGCTTTGGGTGGTTGGTGAGGATGAAAAGTCTCTTTTGGTTTACAAACCAAGGGTTCCTTTTCATTAGCCATCCTCTCTTGAGTTCTTTTCCTGCTTCAAATAATTGATTAAAATCTTCTGGGTTCTGTAACTTGACGTCAACTTCGGATTGACGTGCTGAGTTGTCCTCAGTAGTCATGGTAGCAGACTCAGACAAATCTGGAAGCGGCTCTGGATCTGTTGGCTCAAATATGTCAAGGTTTTTCTTTTTCTTGATTATATTTTTTAGAACCTTTTTATCATAAGGGATAATATCAGTTCCAATAGTGTTCCAATCAATCTCTTTAAAGAACGGGTGTAGCATTAAATCTTCATAAGATCTTCCACTTCCTTGTCTTCCTGCTCCAAGTCTCTGCATAGGTTCAATAACTAGAAGTCTATCTATTAGATCTTTAAGGTCATCATCAATATCTTCTGGCCATTTGAACTCTCTTTTCATAATTATCTCAAAGGTTTGGAAATCTGTTTTACCTTTAAATGGAACTTCTCCAGTAATCATTTGGAATATAATACATCCGAGAGCCCAGAGATCCGTAAAATGCCCTGACATTGACTCCTTTAGCATTTCAGGGGCTACATACAAGGGGGTTCCCACAAAAGTGCCTCTGTATTCATGCATCTTTTTATATCCTGCATCTTCCTCTGCATCTTCATCATGAGCTCTAAATTCCACGAATTCCTTTTTCTTATCATCTGTTTCAATCTGCTTCTTATCTTCTTCGTCAAGGTCATCCGAGTCATCATCGGGAGTTTCTATTTCTTCTGTGGCACCTTCTACCAAGGAATCACCAAAATCTATGAGTTTCAGCCGGAAGTCTTTAGAGATCAGGATGTTTTGCGGCTTCAAGTCTCTGTGCACAATTCCACTGAAATGGATGTATTGAAGGACTCCAACCAATTGAGCTGAATAATACTTTACTATCTCGATCGGTAACTTCTTCATCTTTTTGAGTAAACCTGCTAGATCTCCGTTCTCTTCATATCCAAGTGCGAAGTAGAGGTTATCTTCATCTTGAAAGGTGCCTACCAATTCGATCAAATTCGGATGGGCGAATTCGCTTAGAATCTTCTTCTCTCTCATGACGTGCTCAACTTTATGGCTCTTGATTAAATGGTGTTTATCGAGCATCTTAATAGCTACTTTCTTCTTGTCAGAGACTCTTTTTGCAAGGTAGACTCTTCCATAAGATCCTTCTCCAACCTCTTTGATAATCTTGAAGTCTGAGGGCTTATAAGCTATTTTAGTGCTGTCTTCCTTTTTATCCTCTTTGGTCGATTTACTTCTTTTAAGGGAAGCACTTTCTCTAGCTTCAACAGCTGAGTGGCCATTTTTAGATAAATTCGCTTCATTCATTGATTTTATCTTCTTCATTTTCATTGGTCCAGAACCTTCATGGGCTATTTTATACTCCTCACCCTCCATTTCTCAGATTATTTTATTATTTCAATGTGGTATTAATAATAAGGGGTTTTGGGGTTTTGGGGTTTTGGGGAAGGATCTTATGGAAG